GGACCCTGGGATCATGACCTGAGCCGAAGGCAGATGCTTAACTATCTGAGCCACCCAGGTGCCTCTTAAAATACATTCTTAAAGGTCTATTCAAATTTTAAAATAAATTCCACTTTAGCAAATGGCATTCACAGAAAACTGAATTTGACGTGGCCAATTTTACTCTGTACTGCTTTGACCCAAAGTGCAAATGGTCAGCCACTGAGAGATTCCCTTGACAAGCATAAAACACTTTTTATCAAGCCTAATTCTTTCCTTGTTACATGAAACATTTCTAAAATGACACTCTTGCTAAGTGTCATCAAAAGAATCACAATGTCAGTGTGTGTATTCGCGGAAGTGTTCCCAAGTAAGCTAAGTAACAGCACTAATATCTGGTGATCCTACTGGTAGGAAAGTCCAGCAGAGTGGGGCTTGGGACCAGGGCTTCCCTACTTTTCCAGTCCTCAGATGGACATTCATACCAGACATTTAGAAGCAATTCTTGGGCTTAGAAGTGCTTTGTGCTTCCCTTCCAATATTCCATGTTCTTCTTTTTACTGTACCAGCTAAACTGTGAGAAATCAATTAGCATGTTAGTCAATTTTTCCCCCAAATCACCAATAACTAGTGGTGGTGGGATTCCAAGTAATTTTTATTTTTCTCTTTTCTTTCTTTTCCCCTAATTTTCAACAAGGGCAAATAAAAAATTTTTAAAGGGTTTTTCTGAATTTTGTTTTTAAATAGAACCCAAAGAGGCAAATTACTGAATTTTGGGCTTAACTTTTTTACCCTAGCCATACAATGAGGCCAAAAACAACGTACACTAAATTCAGTCAATGTTAATACAAGCATGTAATAGGATGACGGCTAGACAAAGTTCGTGTAACACCCTTTATATTTTCTTAAAGAAGTTATGTATTATATGTGACCAAGGTAATATGATCCTTGAAATAAATATTAATATTCTTATGTGTTTTCACAACGAATTCTTCTCCTAAAAGAAACCACGAGAATTAAAAGATAATACAGAAACTAACTTGACACACAAATGCTTTCTTCAACAAATATTTAAGAAACATACTTAGAAATGCAAACTGGTGTAGCCACTCTGGAAAACAGTATGGAGGTTCCCCGAAAAGTTAAAAATAAAGCTACCCTATGACCCAGCAATTGCACTAGTAGCTATTTATCCAAAGAATACAAACATAGTGATTCAAAGGGGCACATGCACTCCAACGTTTAGAGCAGCAAAGTCCACAAGAGCCAAAATAGGGAAAGAGCCCAGATGTCCACTGACAGATGAATGGATAAAGAAGATGTGGTATACACACACACACACACACACACACACACACTCACTCAATGGAGTATTACTCAGCCATCAAAAAGAATGAAATCTTGCCACTTGCAACAATGTGGATGGAACTAGAGGGTATTATGCTAAGCAAAATAAGTCAGTCAGAGAAAGACAAATACCACATGATTTCACTCATATGTGCAATTTAAGAAACAAAACAGATAAAAATAGGGGAAGGGAAGAAAAAAAAATAAGATGAAAATTGAGAGGGAGGCAAACCATGAGAGACTCTTAACTCTAGGAAACAAACTGAGGGTTGCTGGAGGGGAGGGGGAGTGGCTGATAGGGTAACTGGATGATGGGCTTTAAGGCAGGCACGTGATGTAATGAGCACTGGGTGTTATATGCAACTGATGAATCACTAAATTCTACCCCTGAAACTAGTTAATACAGTACATGTTAACTAAATTGATTTTAAAGAATTTTTTTAAAAAGAAACATATTTAATATAAAAGCCAAGATCAAAATATCAAAAAGAGGAGTGAATCAACAGCTTTACCTCTTTGTGTTTCATATCCAACTGACCCCTAAGGGCCTTAAGTTCTTGTTCACGGATGTCCAGGCAAGTTTCGAGAGCATGTGTCTACCCTTCCCATTCAGATTTTTTATGAGCCACCATTATGTCAATCTGTTTCATGAGCTCTTGTAGTTCTGCTTCACAGGATGTCAAAAATCCCCTGTAAATAAGAACATATGCCCATGACTTTTTCTCTTTCACATGTAAAAATATAGCAGATGTAAACCCAGCTGTGGTGGAACAATGTCAGTAAAGAAATTATTAGAGACAAAGAAAAGGATTTCTGCACTTTTCCCTTTAACATTCATATTAAGGTGATTATTTATTCCACTGCATACTTGACCTTCCTCTAATAGCCAACCCTGAAGCCTAAGTCATTTGGTCAAACACAAGACTGATGTTTAAGTCCAGCTTGTGAGCGAGGCTTCCACAACCAACAACTAGCTCTTTTGTAATGTTTTAGGAATACTCTCAGGAAAAATCCAGGCAAGCCTGTCACATTTTTATTTATTTATTTATTTATTTATTTTAAGATTTTATTTATTCATTTGAGACACAGGGATACAGAGAGAGAGCATGAGCAGGGGAGAGGCAGAGGGAGAGGGAGAAGCAGGCTCCCCGCTGAGCCAGGAGCCCGATGTGGGGCTCGATCCCAGGACCCTGGGATCATGACCTGAGCTGAAGGCAGATGCTTAACCATCTGAGCCACCCAGGCGCCCCAAGCCTGTCACATTTTTAGCTAACCAAAATAAAAAGCCTTTGAAGTGAGAGGCTTATTGGGGAAAATGACAATACAATTTTAAGAGCTGTTTCAAGAGCCAGATTTATTTCAACTATTTCTTCCCACCTTATTATTAGAAACTTACTGCAACGGACCTTATTGTAAACTGACTGAGGTCCTTCACAGTTACAGGAGATGCCAGATATCTCAGAGGCAGGAAAAGAAGCAAACATAGATGTACTGGATTCAAATAGGCTTCCAGAAATGGCCACAGAAAGCTGTAGCTAGGAAGGCTTAAATACTTTTTTATAAAAGCATCTGTTCTTAGTGTACAAAACTTCTGAACTTCTACTTTTGCTTTTGAAGAGGAGAAAATTGAGAGTGGGATGAAAGCAAGCAGCAAGCCGTTGCTGAGATGAGGCAAACACCCCAAAGAGAGATGCTGTCCACAGACATGACATGGATCAGCTGAGCTTCCACTTAGCACTTTTGCTTCTATACCCAAAGCATAGAATGGTCAGAGGCATAACTTGGATATGCTTTTTAAACTCAGTGAGAAGCTTAAGGTCAAAAGCTAACTTACCCTTCATGTCCCCGATTTTGTATTCCTTCCAACAAAGCCTCCATCATCAAATCCCCTTTGTTTTGGCAACTGGGAAAGCAAAAAAAAAAAAAAAAAATCAGTCAGGAGAAAATACATTGTAAGTCCTAACATTCCAACTTACAAACCTAAGAATGTGAAAGCATACAATAACAAATAACAATGAGAAAATGCAGCACTTCTTAGCTGCCAAACACCATCAGTTCGCATGTGCCCCTTAGGAAGCAGTCAAGGAACATCACTTCAAGAAATATTCAAACCAAATACATTTCAGGCTAAAAGAAAATAACTTTTAATGATCTGAATTGCTGCTGATACTCTCCCCACATGATAGAGATCATACCTCATTGTTGTACCCCTGTGAACCAAGAGGGCTAGAAGCAGAGGGACACTGACAGAAAGCCTTCACAAAATGAGGGGAAGTAATTAGGGGTCACACATGTCAGAGGAAAAGTAGATCTTTTTTTTTTTTTAAGAGACATTATAAAAAGGTTAAATGCCCTGAGCTTGAACTCTTTGGTCCATCATGGGAGATCTTACCCACACCCTTCAGATGACAGGCCTATGAAGCTTCCTAGAACACTCTCCCTTCCCTCAAAGGCAACTATATGGGCCCTCCCTCCTCTACTTCCCCACTGCTAGTCTTTAACAGGTTCTTTCACAGGAGTTACACCACCCTGGGAATGAGGTTTTTGCACACCCTTTTTCCTTACTGTTCTAAATCTAATTTTATTCACCTCCGCAGCTCGAGACAGCGTAGTGTAGCGTTTCAGTATGGTACATGTTAGATGTTTTTGTCTGAACTTATCACAATTCCCCTCCCTTTTCCCTCTCCTTTTGTGCAAGCTGGTCACAGAGAAGCATCTAGTAGAGAAAGAAGGGAAGGAGACAGAACAGATGCCATAGAAAGGGAAAGACACATCATAAAGAAAGGAAGGTGAGGAGGAGAGGTAAAAGATTACCCTTCAATTCAGAAGTGCCAATGAGAAGTACCTGTTGGTGGTTTCTCACCTCTACAAAATGTTAACCAATGTCAAACTACTTCTCACTCCTGAGACACTGTTTTTTCCTTAAGCCTTCAAAGGCTCAGCCCTGAATTAGTCTTTAGGTAATTCTGAAAAGCTGTGGTGGGAGGTTCTACCCCTTTGTCCTAATGCCTCGTGTAAAAATTACAATGCTCTGGAAGGGGATTCCTTCATTTAACAGAGAATTCAGTGTCGTACTAACCACCAGATACATAGTGATGAAAGACATGCTCCTTTTCAAGGAATTAATAATCCAGTATGGGAAAGAAAAAATTAACCCAAAATGTTCCCCCAAGTGGGGCACCTGGGTGGCTCAGTCGTTAAGCGTCTGCCTTCGGCTCAGGTCATGGTCCCAGGGTCCTGGGATCGAGCCCCGCATCGGGCTCCTTGCTCTGTGGGAAGCCTGCTTCTCCCTCTCCCACTCCCCCTGCTTGTGTTCCCTCTTTCGCTGTGTCTCTCTCTCTGTCAAATAAATAAATAAAATCTTTTAAAAAAAAAAAAGTTCCCCCAAGTATAATAAATGTAGTGACAGAGGTGAGGACAGGGTGTCCTGGAGACACAGAGGAGAATGGAAGACTGGAAAATACAACTACTGCATGCTATTTGCATCCATTTCTGAAGTTACTAACAGAAGTATTTAACTATTTATGCACAAATATGGCAGAGAGGCTTTTTCTCCAGTTGGCTTACCCTTCACATTACACCAACATTAAACAAATTAAAACCTAAAGAAAGAGGTTTTCATGTTCTAATCCACTTTCTTTCAAACTATGATATGGTCAATTACAGCACAGTCTAGATTTAATGTCTTATTCCACTCTGGGGACCTGCCAGGCAGGGCCCAGTTCACACAGTACCATGTGGATAAAAACCCAGGAGAGAGTCCTACTCTGCAACTAAGTAGCTTTGTGTCCTTGGACTTCAGTTTTTGCATCTGTAAAATGAGCAGTATGAACGATAATCCCCAAGGTTTCATGGCATTCTAGTAGCCAATTAAATGTCCACTGCGAGTAGCATGCTCTTGCCTACTGTCACGGATATTTATTAAATCTGTAAGAAAGTGCTATTCCTAAGGACAGTGCCACTGAAGTCATTTAAAACTATCATCAGTAAAATTATACTTCTTTAGGTCGTTTCCTTCTTAAACATTAATCTATTTAGCAATATAAATTTGTAACACATTTAGTAATATATTAATATATTTTCTAGATGACATTATTAATAATTAGCAATGTTTATGACAGAAGGTAACAGTCACTGAGTGTGCAACTGTTCTGCCTCCTATACACTGTCTGATTCATTCTTCACAACACTCATAAAAGATAGACACTATTACTTGGAGGAAACTGAGGCTTGGAGGGTTAAATAGGTTGACTACAGTAAACTACACATTATAGTCATAGGATCAAACCTAAGCAGTGACTCCCAAGTCCCAACCAATGTGCAATCTTTATAAATTTTACAGGATTCCAGACCTTAAAATACCTTCCTATTTTCTTTTGCTTTAATAGTGTCTTCTTGGCAATAAATGAAACCAAACCAAAAGGTCTGGGTACAGGAAAAAAACGCAAACTCACCACCATGGACACCAGATGGCAGTAACACGATAGTGAAAATAGTCCCCATCTTGGGAAATTGCCATTTCAGAAGTAAAAATAATGGTCTAAGACTAAAACAAAGAGATCTCTGTTTTTAAGAAATGGGGGTGGGAGACCAGCAACATTCTCTGTAGAAAATAATCTTACTATTGTGTAATGTATTTCTTTACCAACACCTTCACCATCTGTTTGAATAGCTGCCAAACACCATCAGTTCTCATTCCTTAGAATCAGGGAAATAGCAAGGGCTCAGATTTTCTGTGGACTTTCCTGAGTTTCTCACAGCTACATCACCAATTCCTTCCTAACCACACTGAACCTCATTTAACTCTACGTACTATGTCATTCTGCTTTCTTCTTTTACCTGGGCCATGTAATAATGATGTAAAGTTAGATATTCTTTGTTCATTATAATAAATGCAAATTTACTCACTGTTTGATAATCTACTACTCCTTGCCACTAACGTAAAATGCTAATGTGGTTACATAAAAACTATGTAGCTCTACAACTGTCATTTCTGCAGTTAAACCAAGACATCAAAAAATATGTTATTAATTATAATTCTCCTTTTAAGTTATTTATTATAACTCTCCTTTGGAATGAAGGCTGTTTTAAATCAGTGAAATCTAGAATAGGAGGCTTAAAGGGAATACAGGGTGGGAAGCAGAGAAAACACACTTTAAATCTTAGGGGGAAAAAAAGTCCAGATAGGATATCTAATAAAAGGCAAAGCTTTGAAATTCATTAGCATATTGGAATTTAAGAGCTAGAAAGGATCTGAAGGTCTCCTCTTTAACCTCTTTATTTTACAGATCAGGAAAAATATTCTGAGTATAGCAATAATCGTGCCTCAGATAAACCTGTGAGTATAATCCCATGATCAAATTACTCACAAAATGGGACACAGGAAGAAAATAAAAACTCTGGATAGAATTATGAATTAATGTGTATTAATAGAAGGGATATCCCTACCCATCAAGTCTCACTTAAAGGAGAGTAATGATACTATGTTACTATATTACATATATATATACATATGTATACATATATGTATACATATACATACATACTATGATTATAAAGATCTATGGCTCTGTCAGATTTACTATGGCTGATAAACTGGCTGCTCCAATAAACAATAATTTACCATTGCCCAGAAAGGTTCCTACTTAAACTTAAGGGGAAAAAAAATCACAGATAAAGTATCAAAGAAATTTTCCAAAATAAAAGTGGAATTTTAAAACATTGATCAAACTAGGACTCAAAATCCAGAAAGAATGAGGAGAAAGACTGAGAAACCAGAGTAGATAAAAATAGACTTTTACATGGGAAAAATGCCATAAGCAAAGTCTAAAGACAAAAGTATTTGGAAGTTTTATCAGAGAAGGTTATTTATCCAAATATATAAAAAGCTTCTAAAAATTGAGAGAGGAGGGGTGCCTGGGTGGCACAGTTGGTTAAGCACCCAGCTCTTGGTTTCAGCTCAGATCATGATCTCATGGGTCATGAGATCAAGGCCTGTGTCTGGCTCTGCGCTCAGTCCAGAGTCTGCTTGAGTTTCTCTCTCCCTTGCCCTCTGCTCCTCCCCCCAGCTCTCTCTTTCTCTAAAATAAATAAATAAATCCTAAAAAAATAATAATAATAAAATAAAAATAAAATTTGAGAAGGGAAAAAAGGAATCTATAGAAAAATGGGCAGAAGATATGAACAAGTAGTTCACAGAAAAAGAAATGCAAATGACCTTAAACATATGAGAAGATCAGCATTATTTACAATAGCCAAGATATGGAAGCAGCTCAAGTGTCCAACGATTGATGAATGGATAAAGAAGAGGTGAGATGGATATAGAGATAGGTATAGATATAATGGGTTAATATATACATATATATATATCCATGGATATATACATATGATGGAATATTACTCAGCCATAAAAAGAGCATGAAATCTTGCCATTTGCAATGACAAGGATGGAGCTAGAAACTATAATGAGTATAATGCTAAGTAAAATAAGTCAGAGAAAGACAAATACCATATGATTTTACTCATATATTTAAGAAACAAATGAACAAAGGGAAAAAAGAGACAGAGAGAGAGACACAAACCAAGAAACAGACTCTTAACTACAGAGAAGAAACTGATGGTTACCAGAGGGGAGGTAGGTGGAGGGATGGGTGAAATAGGTGATGGGGATTAACTGGTGCACTTGTCTCGATGAACACTGGGTAACGTATGGAATTGTTGAATCACTATATTGTACACCTGAAACTAATAAAACACTGTATGTTAACTAACTGGAATTAAAATAAAAACTTTAATTAAGTTAAAACACACACAACAAAACATATGAAAAGATGCTCTATCTTGCTTACAAGAAGAGAAATACAAATTTAAAATACACCAAGATACCCTTCCTTCTATATTTAGATTAACCAAAACTCAAAAGTTTGACAATACACTCTTATGACAGATATATTTATAGGAAAATGGGCCCTCATATACACTGTAGGCAGGAATGGAAAATGGTACAATTTCTATAGAGATTTTGGCAATACCTAGCAACTAAGAAATACGACTTCACCCTTTGATCCAACAATGCCACTTCTAGGAAGCTATCCCAAAGTCACACTGGCAAAAATACAAAATCACATATGCACAAGGACACACAGTGCAGTGCTATATGCAACAGTAGGACACAGCACAAAGGCCTGTCAACAGGGACTAGTTGAATATTCATCTACCAGTGGAATATTATGAAGCTGTAAAAATGGATAACATATTTCTTCTAAGGAGGATCTACAAGGCACATATTACCAGGGGGGAGAAGCAAGTAGATAATGCATTTGTTTTTATGGAAGGATAAACCCAAAGCTAGTAAATATGATACCTATAAGAAAGGGAACTAGGGGGCGCCTAGGTGGCTCAGTTGGTTAAGCATCTGACTTCAGCTCAGGTCATGATCCCAGGGTCCTGGGATCAAGTCCCACATCAGGCTCCCTGCTCAGTGGGGAGTCTGCTTCTCCTTCTGCCCCTCCCCTCTGCTTGTCCTCTCTTACTCTCTCTCTCTCTCAAAATAAATGAATATTTTAAAAAAAAAAGAAAGAAAGGGAACTATGGTGGAGAAAAGAGGAATGAACGCTAAACTTGTCTGGATATCTGTAGTTTTATGCTAATGTTTTACATATAATAAAACAAATCCAAATGGGAAAAAAAAAGCAGTATGAAAAAATTGGAAACAAAATGAAACAGATCAACTATCAATTAGATATCAAGGTGGAAAACTAAACATATAACAAAATGTTACACATGCCTTTAAAATGCAATAATTCTACTGTACATATCCCAAGTAGGATATAACTAAAGATAAAAAGAGAACTGCAAAGAAATCCTAAACACTATTCAGGAATCATATTGTTAATAATAAAATTGGTATAATTAATTTGAAATTAATATATATAATACAGGATTTAAAAAAAGTAATTATGTTAATGACATTAGGTTCCAAGATTTTCAGCAAGACAAAAAGACCCAAATATAAGAACAAATACAAAAAATTAAATTAAAATGTAAATATCAGTGTGAATTCTGTATATTTGTTTAAAAATATATATATTTCCTAACTCTGGCCACTGCAAACCCTAGAACCATTGACCAACCTGGCACTATAAGCACCTCTAGCACCCAGACTGTGGTCTCTAAATACCATCTCCCACCCAAAGGAACCAGGGCTTTTTGGTGGCCATTAATGGATAAATGAGGGAGGAACATGTTTTACCAGAAAATAGGGAAATTGATTATCAAAGATTACTGGTCATATCAAAATGGACAGGAGCCAACTTAAAGGGGATGCCGCTGACCAAAGGAAGGGCAATTTGAGTATTAAAAAAAAAAAAAAGACTGCAATAAGTTGAAAAGGTTTAAATATATTCAAGTCCATGATGATTTAAAAAAAAAAAAGGCAGAAACCCTCATGGTTACTTTTGGAAGTTGCTAGGCCACCATCTCATTACTGTAGTCCAAAAATAGAGGGAAAGAATTAAGCATTTTTCTTGCCTTTCCTGTACAAACTATATTTCAAATAGCTGATGGCAGTCAAATGGCTGGCAGGGTAGAGTTCTTCTTCATAAAAGATTTCCAGCTAATAAATACTGAAGGAATGACAGGATTGGAAAATCACCATTCTGCAACCCCTAATGCAATAATGGATATAGGCGATGCTAAATCCATAAAAAGATTTCACCATTAAGTGAAAAGCTCATGGGGAATTTGAGGATAGATGGATTGGGCTAACAATACCTGAACCCATTACACTGCTCAATCTTAACACAAGAGAGACAACTCAGACATTTCATACCTCTCTGATAATTAATGCAATAGATTATCTACGCACTACCTAGGAAATCTTATTGACCCCCACAAAAAAAAAAAAAAAATTAAGGTTAAATCCGATCTTCTAGATCAGTGCTATTCAACAGAACTTTCTGCAATTATTGAAATATTTTATGTCTGCACCATTTAGAGGGTAGCCACCAGGCACCTGTAACTACTGAGCAATTGAAATGTAGCTAATGAAACTAGGGACCAGAATTTTTAGTTTTATTTCATTTTAATTAATTTAAATAGCCAGAGCTGGCTGGTGGCTACTATAGTGAACAGTGCAATTCTAGATCTAACCACAGGTTTAAAGAGAAAAGATGGGGGCGCCTGGGTGGCTCAGTTGGTTAAGCGACTGCCTTCGGCTCAGGTCATGATCCTGGAGTCCCGGGATCGAGTCCCA